GTCCCAAAATGCTTTATAGCAACAGAATTTGACACTGAGTCACATAAGGTGATATTAGGTCAGATGATGAAAAGCTTTGAGAAGTTTTGAGAAGTGTCTCAAAGGAGACGGAAAAGGTAGAAAGGTTGAGGAAATTCCAGAGCTTGCAACTTAAGCAACCGAAGGCACAGCCACCAGGCAAGGTGCAGAGATAGGAAAGGACGAGGACCTGCAGTGATTTGAAAACAAGGATAAGAGTTTTAAAGGCCGGAAGACAAATGACCCACAATACCCACCCTACAGCGAGTTTACAGCAATTAAAGGAGGTATTTATTTATAACAAAGTTGGTCCAAGAGCAGCCTCAAGTGTGACTAAACTGTGACATCCAGTTGTGAAGACCTTTCCATTCCAGTAACAGTAAAGGTCACTTCTCTCCTGAACCTTCATACCATGGAAGCCTTCCAGGTAGCCACAGGGTTAGATATACACTGGCAATTTTCAAAATGAACATATAGTATATCTGAGACATGATTTCAAAAAAAAATATGTTACAGAGGATTCTGTAATGGATTGTCACCAGGAATTTCCATAGAGCTATTCTCATTCTACCACCATATCTGTGTTGGAATACAGCAAAAACCTCATTTATACTGAAACCAATGTTCTACCAAAGGAGCAGGAAGAGCTTCAAAGACCTTGGTAAAATCATCCCCTTGTGGTGTCAATTATAGAAATGAGCCGAGTCCCCTCTAAAACCATTACAGTCTCCCATTCTGACCATAATCTCAGTACAGTCCTCACCTCTGCTCCTTAAATCCATGGGATGTAAACCAGACCAGATATGGTGGGCACCTGGTATATCAGTTCACCACCAGATCTGACTGGACCAAATATCACATCCCGCTCTCATCTGTTGACTTAATTACAGGAGTATCCACATGTTAAACAACAAGTACAAGGAACTCATGCACTTCTTTGTCAATTTAGTTATAATCATCCAATCAGCCACTTTTAGTGTTTTTCTCGCTTCTCCTCGTCCACTGAGCTAAAATTCCCTGAAAGTTCTTCCCTGTCTTAGTTCTGAAATTGCAACATACTTTAGTTTCTCTCCTACCTCCCCTTATATTGTTTCTCGTCACATCTTGAGACCACCCCCTGCTCCCATAACTATATTCTCACTAAACTGCTGAGCACATAACTTCAACTTTAGCTGATATTATTGATTTTCTCTTCTCAAGTACTGTCCCACTTTCCTTCAATCTACCTTCACCAACCCACTCCGCAAACCTTCATCTACACCTCCATCTCCAGCCTCCCTTTCCACACAGAAATTTCCACACACTGAGAACACCAGGTATGAATTTCTCCAATCAGCTCTCCATCCATACCACAGTGCTAAAATGCTTCTAAGTGAAATCCTACATGACTGTGACAAAATTAAACTATCCCTCTTCATTTGTTTTAACCTGTCTTCAGCCTTTGGCATAATTGATATTCGTATTGGACATCCTCCTCCAATTCCTCTCCATTGTCATCAGCTCTCACCAAGTTTCATTCTTAACTACCTAATGTAGCCAGAACATCAGTTGTATTGGCTTATCTTCCTTTTTCCATGCCCCAAGGTGGTATCTTTGGCCTCCTCCTACTTCTCACTTATATTCTACCCTTTGGTAACCTCATCCCAAAGCACAGTGTTAGTTTTCACAGGTGCACTCACAACACCAACATTAAACTGAAAAGGTCTTTCTTGACCCTCCACTGTTGCTAAATTGTCAGATTGCTTATCTGACATCTCGTAATGAAAATTTCCTCCATTTAAATTTTGCAAAGGACTGAATTCACTATAGTCACCACTTTTCCTCCCATTCCAAACTCCATTTCCTGAGTGCAGACTGCATCCCTTTCTCTGTAAACTATCATACTAATCAGACTGTTCAGACTTGTTGGTTTATCTGAATCTGAGATTTGTTCTGGCCACATATTCACTCCCACACTAAGACTGTTAACCTCCAGCTCCATAACATTAACTGGCTTCACCCCTGCCTGCACGTATCTGCTGCTGAAACCTTCATACAAGACTTTCCTACCTCTAGAAGTGACTATGAACTACTGTCCAGCCTCTCATATACCATCCTCCATAAACTTGAGGACATCCAAAACGTTGCTGCCTATGTTCTTACTCGCAACAAGACCACTTACATACATTGGCTTCTGGTTAAGCAATGCCTCCATTTAAAAATTCTCATTTTCAAATCCCTATACAGCCTCACTCATCTATATTTCTGTAAACTCTTTCAGCTACAACCCTCTCAGACACCTGTACTGTTTTCATTCCAGCATTTTGAGCATTCCAATTTCAACATGGCCAATTAATAAATACTGGGAAAATAACTGGCAATGACTTTTAACTTAGATAAACATGAGGTAAGACTCACACCTCACCTGGCAATGACCATCTCCAATAAAGAGAAAATCTAACTATCTCCCTTTGACATTCCAGAGCATAACGATCATAGAATCCCAGACTATCAACATTCTAGTGGTTACCATTGACCAGAAATAGAACTAGATTAGCCGTACAAATACTTTGGCTACAAGAGCAGGACAATGTAGAAAGTGTAGTAAACAACTCATCTTCAGTCTTCCCAACACCTGTCCACCATCTATCAGACACAAGTCAGGAGTATGATGGAATACTCTCCACTTGCCTGGATACTGAAACTGCAACCACAGTCAAGATGTTCAATACCTTACAAAATATTACAGTATGCCTGGCTAACACCCAATCCATCTTCAACATTCACTCCCTTCACTAGAGACATGCGGTGGCAGCAGTGTTTACCATCTACAAGATGCACTCCAGTAACTCATCAAGGTTCCACCAACAGCATCTTCCAAACTGTCACAACCTCTTCCACCTAAATGGACAAGTGCAGCAAATACACGGGAGCTTGGACCTATATCAAGTTTAGTTGGGGTAAAGGAACAAAGGCATCTTAAAGTACAAATCATCATCATAAGTTGTGGAGTCATAACATAACAATCATCATAAGTTGTGTACAGATTAGCAAAGCCATAAAAAACCAAATGAAACACTATGCTTTATTTATAGAGGGACAGAATTGAAAAGTAGTGATGGTATGCTAAACATGTATGAAATGTTGGTTAAATCAATTAAGAGCAGTGTGTGCAGTTCTGATCAACATGTTATAAAGAAATACGAAGTTGCTGGAGAGGATGTAAAAAAAACTTAGAAAAAAATGATACCAGAAATATGTGGGTATACATCAGGAAAGGCTGTGTTCCTTTTCTTGTGAATAAATAAGTTTCTCTGGGCTCCCTCTCCACCTATGTGCTCACTTCTTTCCCTCCCACCCCTCTCATCGCATAAATTTCCTAGTTGCTTCTAGTTCTGAAGAAAAATCACAGTTCTTAAAACATTAACTCTATGTTCTCTTCACAGATACCGCTAGACTAATTGAATTTCTCTAGCATTCTCTGTTTTTGTTTGCTTCATATCTAGGGGGAGGCAATGGCCTATTGGTATTATTGCTGGACTGTTAATCCAGAAACCCAGATAATTTTCTGGGGATCTGAGTTTGAATCCTGCCAGGGCAGATGGTGGAATTTGAATTCAATAAACATCTGGAATTAAGAGTCTAATGATGACCATGAATCCTTTGCTGATTGTTGGGAAAAACCCACCTGGTTCACTAATGTCCTTTAGGGAAGGAAACTGCCATCCTTACCTGGTCTGGCCTACATGTGACTCCAGACCCACAGCAATGTGGTTGACTCTGAACTGCCCTCTGGGCAATAAATGCTGCCTAGCAGCGACACCCACATCCTGAGAATGAATAAAGGGAAAAAAAACAGTATCTGCTGTTCCTTGTTTTATTACAAACAAGTGGCAGAGATCCCTGAGGTTCTGCATGCCCTTGAGTAAAAGATGGAGCATTATGTTATGCCATGAGTGCCACTATCTCTCAGACCAACACTGAAAGAGTGGCCATCTTCATACAGACTCACATAAACCAGACCAATGAATGGAATAGTGAAGTGGCCATCTAGGCCCGAAACGTCAGCCTTCCTGCTCCTCTGATGCTGCTTGGCCTGCTGTGTCCATCCAGCTTTGCACCTTATTATCATAATTTGACTGTCCTTTTTAGTAGCTTTGTAAGGTGTGTTGTAATGATGACTCCACAGGTGTGTGGAGAAATTGCATTTTGCTACTTGCTCTTGCATAGCCCATAAACACAACTTTGCTCTGAAGGGTCTGAGGCAGGCAGGCCAACTAGCAATGGGGTTCCTCTGTACAGTTTCTGGGACAGATATGCTGTTTTCTGTCCTTATGACCTAGGCTGCCTTTGCACAGATACAGGTTGGAAAGTCTTTCGCTGACCCCTCCTGCCAGCAGTCATGATCATCTCCTTTACCATTGCAGAGAAGGAGAAGGCTGCCCCAGCTTAGCATCAACCAGAGAAGAACATCACATGGAAGTTCATGGAAAAAATCTCATAGATCGTTTGTGTCACTAAGGGATCCATGTGGTTTGCTTTTTAAATGTTTGTGAAAGTTGTTTTGCTATTAACTTGATTGAAGGATTGGCTGACAAGCTCCTAAGTATAATATGGTTAAATGATGATAATATGGTTAAATTCAAATCTGTGAATACATCTGGTCCAGATCACACAGGAGTGCAGGTAAACTAATGTCATAGATGAAGTGTAGCCCTGGGCCTGGTGTAAGCAATAGGAAATGTTATGCCAGGTGAACTGATTGTTTTGAGGGAGTCCTGACAGAACTAGATTAGGGTGTCAAACAGAGTAGATAGGAAAACTCGACACGGATGAGTGTGTCCTGACTGTTCTTGCTGTGTAGGTCTGTCTGCTGGCTCCTGATAGATACCTCAGCCTGGGCTGCTGACTCCAAGTAATCATCCTCTTCTTTTTCCTCTGAGAAAGGCCAGAGCTCCTGTCTTTCAGTCTAGTTTCTGTCCTCGCTGCATTGCTGTGCTGTACACAATGCAGCAAACCATCAATATGCACAATATCCCTGAAGGTTTGCAATGGAGGACTCCCCCAGGGCAATCAAATCAATAGAACTGCATCTTTAGAAGATCAATGATTTTCTCAACGGTAGAACCGCAGCAGTTGTACCATTTCTCTACATCTGTTGTCGTTCATCAAAAGCCATGCCTTCAAATGACAGAGGTAGTATCAGACACAAAATTTATAAGTAAAAGATCAAAGGTTCATACCATTGATGAGGATATGCTAAACAAACCTAAGATGCTGTTAAATCTTTAATCAGTTAGAAGGTTTTAATTGATTAATATGTATATGTAAATCCCCAAATTCCTTTCAAGTCACGGTCCTGAGAGAACTAAATGTTTTATCAGTGTAAAGAAGAGGTGACATTTTAGATCAGACAATGCATGTTAGGTTTGAGATCTTGTTTAGAATCTGTTTGTGTTTTAGTTTGGAGTCAGACTGGTTTTATTTTTAAAGTAGAAATTTATAAAATGCTATATTGACTTACTGTCTATAAATTGCGTGCTTTTCAAACAAAATAAAATGTATCAGCAAATAGAAATTCACTCCATACATGTATGTGTGTGTGTGTATGTGAGAGATAGTGAGAGTGAGGAGGGGGGAGAGAGAGAGAGAATGAGTGTGTGTGCGTGAGAGTGTGTGTGTGTGCGAGAGAGAGAGAAAGTGTGTGTGTGAGTATGTGTGAGTGTGAGTGTGTGTGTGTATATGGGAGAGAAACAGTGTAAGTGTGTTTGTGTGAGTGTGTGTGTGTAGGTATGCGTGTGTGAGAGTGTACAGTGTGGTGGGGTCACCTGTAGTGCAACATGAACCCAAGGTCCCAGTTGAGGCTATCCTCATGGGTACTGAACTTGGCTATCAGCCTCTGCTCAGCAACTCTGCGTTGCTGCCTATGGTACGTTGCCTCCCTGGTGCCAGGGTCCCTGATATCTCGGATCATGCCTTCAAGATCCTTAAGGGGGAGGGTGTCACGGTACACATCAGTACCAATGACATAGGTAGAAAAAGGACAGAGAATGTGAAAAACGAGTACAGGGATTTAGGTTGGAAGCTGAAGTCCAGGAAAAACAGGGTAATTATCTCTGGATTACTACCAGTGCCACATGATAACGAGGTAAGAAATAGGGAGAGAGTGCAGCTAAACACGTGACTACTGGGCTGGTGTAGGAGGGAGGGCTTCTATTATGTGGATAATTGGAGCACATTCAGGGGAAGGTGGGACCTATACAGTAAGGACGGGTTGCACCTGAACCGGAAGGGCACAAATATCCTGGGAGGGAGGTTTGCTCGAGCGATACGGGATGGTTTAAACTAGATTGACAGGGGGTGGGAACTGGATTTGTAATTCAGAGGATGAGGTATTCAGCCTTCCAACAGACACAACAGGGGGTGAGGTTGTTTATAAAGAAATGCGGTCGATGGAGCGTAATTGTGGACACAGAGATGGTTTGAGGTGTGTATACTTCAATGCTAGAAATATCAGAAATAAGGCAGATGAACTTAGAGATAGTAGGAACTGCAGATGCTGGAGAATCTGAGATAACAAGGTGTAGAGCTGGATGAACACAGCAGGCCAAGCAGCATCATAGGATCAGGAAAGCTGACGTTTCGGGCCTAGACCCTTCTTCAGATTTTCTGCTCCTATGATGCTGCTTGGCCTGCTGTGTTCATCCAGCCCTACACCTTGCTATCTCAGATGAACTTAGAGCATGGGTCAGTACTTGGAACTACGATGTTGTGGCCATTACAGAAACTTGGGTAACTCAGGGACAGGAATGGTTGTTGGAAGTTCTAGGATTTAGATGCTTTAAAAGAAATAGGGAGGGTGGAAAAAGAGGCGGGGGAGTGGCATTGCTAGTCAGGGCTAGTATAGCAGCTACTGAAAGGCAGTTCGAGAATGATATGTCTACAGAGATAGTTTGGATTGAGGTCCGGAACAAGAAAGGAGTAGTCACTTTGTTGGGGTTTTTTTAAAGACCCCCTAATAGTTGCAGGAAAGTAGAGGAGCGGATTGGGAGGCAGATACTGGAAAGGTGCAGAAGTCACAGAGTTGTAGTCATGGGTGACTTCAACTTTCCAAATATTGATTGGAAACATTTTAGTTGTAATATTTAGATGGGGTGGACTTTGTCCAGTGCATTCAGGAAGGATTCCTGACACAGTAGTAGGTAGACCAACAGGAGGAGAGGCCACTTTGGATTTGGTGCTTTGCAATGAACCGGGCCAAGTATTAGACCTGTTGGTAGGAGAGCATTTTGGCGGTAGCGATCATAACTCTGTTACTTTTACAATAGTCATGGAAAAGGATAGGTACATACAGCAGGGTAAAGTTTATAATTGGGGGAAGGGTAATTACAATTCTGTTAGGCAAGAACTGGGTAACATAAAATGGGAACAGATGCTGTCAGGGAAGAGCACTATTGAAATGTGGAGATTGTTTAAGGAATGCATACTGCGTGTGCTCGATATGTTTGTCCCTAGCAGGCAGGGAAGATGCGGTTGAGTGAGGGAGCCTTGGTTCTCAAGAGAGGTCGAACCACTGGTTAAGAGGAAGAAGGATGCTTATATAAGGTTTAGGAAACAAGGAACGGAAAGGGCTCTAGAGGGATACAAGTTATCCAGGAAGGAGCTAAAGAACGGGCTTAGGAGAGCCTTTCTCATAAGGGGGCATGAGAAAAACTTGGCAGATAGGATCAAGGAAAACTCCAAGGCTTTTTACACGTACATGAGGAATAAGAGAATGACCAGAGAAAATGTAGGACCGATCAAGGATTGTGAAGGAAATTTGTGCACGGAGCCTAAAGAGATAGGAGAGGTCCTTAATGAATACTTTTCTTCCGTATTCACAACTGAGAGGGACCTAGTTGTAGAGGAGGACAGTGTGAAACAGGCTTGTAGGCTAGAGGAGGTCGGTGTTAGTAAGGAAGATGTGCTAGGAATTTTGAGGAAGTTGAAGATAGATAAGTCCCCCGGGCCTGATGGGATTTATCCAAGGATTCTATGGGAAGCGAGGGAAGAGATCGCAGGGCCTTTGGCGATGATCTTTTCATCCTCACTGTCCACGGGTATAGTGCCGGAAGATTGGAGAGAAGAGAACGTCATTCCCTTGTTCAAAAAAGAGAATAGGGATAATCCGGAAATTACAGGCCAGTTAGTCTTACTTCAGTGGTGGGCAAATTATTGGAAAGGGCTCTGAGACATAGGATTTATGATCACTTGGAAAGGCACAGTTTCATTCGTGATAGTCAGCATGGATTTGTGAGGGGTAGATCATGCCTCACAACTCTTATTGAATTCTTTGAAGAGGTGACCAAACACGTGGATGAAGGTAGAGCAGTGGATATGGTATACATGGATTTAAGTAAGGCGTTTGATAAGGTTCCCCATGGTAGGCTCATGCAGAAGATAAGGAGGCATGGGATAAGGGGAAATGTGACAGATTGGATTCAGAATTGGCTGACCCTTAGAAGACAAAGGGTGGTAGTGGATGGAAAATATTCAACATGGTGCTCGGTTACGAATGGTGTACCACAAGGATCTGTTCTGGGTCCTCTTCTATTTGTGATTTTTGTAAACGATTTGGATGAAGGAGTGGAAGGGTGGATGAGTAAGTTCGCGGACAATACGAAGGTGGGTCACGTTGTGGACAGTGCAGAGGGCTGTTCTAGGTTACAAAGGGACATTGATAGGTTGCAGAGCTGAGCTGAGAAGTGGCAGATGGAGTTTAACCCTGAAAATTGAGGTGATTCATTTTGGAAGGACAAACTTTAAAGCAGAATACAGGATTAACGGAAAGATTCTTGGCAGTGTGGAGGAGCAGAAGGATCTTGGGGTTCATGTCCACAGTTCACTGAAAGCTGCCACCCAGGCGGATAGAATTGTTGAGAAGGCGTATGGTGTGTTAGCTTTCATTGAAAGAGGGATTGAGTTCAAGAGCCGTGAAGTTATGCTCCAGATATACAAAAGCCTGGTTCGGCCACATCTGGAGTATTGTGTCCAGTTCTGGCTGCCTCATTACAGGAAAGATGTGGAAGCATTGGAAAAGGTGCAGAGGAGATTTACCAGGGTGTTGCCTGGAAAATGGAGGGAAGGTCGTACGAGGGAAGGTTGAGAAAGCCAGGGTTTTTCTCTTTAGAATGAGGAAGGATGAGAGGTGACTTGATAGAGGTGTACAAAATTATCAGAGATATAGATAGAGTAGACAGCCAGAGACATTTTCCTAGGGTGGAGGTAGCTATTACGAGGGGGCATAGTTTTAAAGTGAGTGGAGGTAGATACAGGGGAGACATCAGAGGTAGGTTCTTTACTCAGAGAGTGGTCGAAGCATGAAATGCTTGCTGGAGAGGGTAGTGGGGTCGGCCTCATTAGGGGCATTTAAGCGGCTATTAGATAAGCATATGGATGATAGTATAAGGTAGGGGTGGAGGTTTGATAGACCTTAGGATTAGGGTAAATGTTCGGCACAACATCATGGGCCGAAGGGCCTGTACTGTGCTGCACTGTTCTATGTTCTATCTCAAAGTCCGCATTGGAGGACGTTTAATCGAAGATCCGAAGCCAAATGTCCTTGACGGCTTATGTGTTCCCCCACTGGGAGGGAACATTCCTGTCCATCGATTGTTGCGCAGCATCCATTCATCCGTTGTTGTAGCATCTATATGGTTTCGGCAATGTACCATGCCTTGGGGCATCATTGCCTGCAGCGTGTGAGATAGACAACATTGGCTAAGTCACGAGTATCTGCTGTGCACGTGGTGGGTGGTGTTCCAACGTGTGATGGTAGTATCTGTGTCGAAGATCTGATGTGTCTTGCATATACATATTAATCAGTTAAAACCTTCTAACTGATTAAAGATTTAACAGCATCATAGGTTCAAATGATATAATTTGTCACCTTGGATGCAACAACTAAGTGTTGTGAACAGTAGAGGCACCCGAGATAGCAGAAAATTAAATGAGACATGCCAGCTTCCAGGGAACCTTGTGCACATTGGGTGAAATGTTTACAGTGATTGCAGATGAGTTGTACATTGAAGGAGTGGAAACCTTTTCTGAATGCTCCCATTTGTTGCAACAGTGTCTTAATGGCCACTTGGGTGCTGTATGCAACACCCTGCACCTGGAGAAATCCAGCAAATAAGGCAGAACTGACATCCCGCTGGAGCTGATTAGTCATCAATGGAAAAGATATACTTGCATGGAGTACATCTGTCACCTGCATTATCAAGTATAGGCAGCCAATTGAGAAATTTGATAAGTGTCTCCAACTGATAATTGAAAGAAGCTGGTGACATTGAAATTGAGAAATGCTCTTGCCTTCCCTGCAATGAGCCATGAGTATCTACCTGCTCCTTGGGATTTGAGGTCTTCATTCAGAAGAGTACAGATGTCCTTAACCATCTGCTGCAATTCATCTTCTACAGCACCACTTTTCCAATAGATCTATGGAGATATGATTTTGTTTGAAAACAACATCAGCTTATATGTATATAAAATACCTCAAGGCGCTTCACAGGACATTTATAAGATATATGACACCAAGAGTCACCAAATGCTTGGTCACAGAAGGTTTTACAGATGCCCTAAAGGAGGAAGGTATGTTAAAAGGGCAAGAGAGATGTGGGGAGGATGTTCCCCCTTACAGCCTAGGCAGCTGAAGGCATGTCCACCAAAAGGTGGAGGAATTAAAATGTGGAATAATCACAAAGCCAAAAATTAGAACAGACTAGATATTCCAGAGGGTTTTGAGACAGCAAGAGATTTCAGAGATAGGGAGAGGCATGTATGAGAATGCTGAGAATTCTAAAATCACAATATTGCTTGACCAGATGCCAATGTAGGACAGTGAGAACAGGCATGAGAGGTGAAGGATTTTGGGATAAATTTAATGCAGTGATAACATCTCACCCATTATTTGGAGAACCAGTTGGAGACTCATGTCATGGAGTCATACAGCATGGAAACAGACTCTTCAGCCCAACGCATCCATGGCAACCAGCTTTCCTAAACTGAATTAGTCCCATTTGCCAGCAAATGGCCCATATTCCTCTAAACCTTTCCTGTCCACGTACCTGTCAAAATGATCTTTAAATGTTGTAACTGTACCTGCCTCTACCACTTCCTCTTACAGCTCATCCATAAACGCACCACTCTGTGTGAAAAGGTTGTCCCTCAGGTCCGTTATAAATCTTTTTCCTCTTACCTTAAACCTAAGCTCTCTAGTTTCGGATTCCCCTGCCCTGTGGAAAAGACCCTAGCTATTCACCTTATCTATGCCCCTCATGATTTTATAAACCTCAATTATGTCACCCCTCAGCCTCCTACACTCCTGGGAAAAAAAGTCCCAGTCTATTCAGCCCCTCCTTATAACTTGAACCATCCAGTCTCAGTAAACATCCTTGTAAATCTTTTTTGCATCTTTTCAGTTTAATAACATCTTTCCTCTAGCATGGCGACAAGAACTATATCCAGAACTCCAAATGTGGCCTGGCCAACGTCTGTACAGTCGCAACATGACGTCCGAACTCCTATACTCAATGCTTTAACCAATTAAGGCAAGCATGTCAAACACTTTCCTCACTATCCTTTCCAACTATGATGCCACTTTCAAGGAACTATGTACCTGCACCCCTAGATCTCTCTATTCGACAACACCCCCCAGGGCCCTACCATTAACTGCGGTCCATTGGGTAGGTTCAATGAAATTAAGTGTCCATTGGGCACTTAACTGACCAGCATCAGACCTTTCCAGGGTTTAAGATCCTGGGGGAGGAAGTTGCACCCCAAGAACTGATGATCAGGGGTTCGTAGCTCACCATTCATCATAGTTGCTGCCTGTAATGCTTCAAGGATTTTACCAGGGATTGTAGCTGGACTCCTGGACAGACCTGAGCAACAGCAGGTTGGAACTGCAGGGAAAAGGTACCTAGAGGAGGAAATGCAGTCAAAGTGAAGGCTAGAGGATGGCTTTCAGCAGCCAATATAACATAAAGTTTACAAATTGACTCATTTTGATTCGGACAATTGTCAGGGAATGGAATGGAATTGGCAGCTAGGAAATGAAGCTTGGAGTGGGAGCTGAAAACAATGCCTTCAGTGTTCCCAATATTCATCCGGAGGAAATTTCTTCTTATTCAGTAATGTGTGTTGGTAAATAGTCTGACAATTTAACAGCAGCAGAAGAGTCAGGAGAGGTATGATGAGGGAAAACTGCATGTTTCAGTGTACTTATAGAAACAAATATTTTGCTTTCAGATGATGTTGTTGAGGGACACAATGTAGATGAGAAATGGGGGGAGGGGCATAGGTAGGGATTTGGGAAACACCCACAATGCAGGATGAGAAACTATTGAAAATGATAATTTGAATTTAGGTGAGAGCAGATGAGAACTGTCCCAATCAAGTGGATGATTTGGGAAAGGCCTCTGCTGATAGCTGTGCCTTTTTTTGTGTCCTGACCCGTGTCTAACTGCAATGTATTGCTGTGAGTGCTGCTCACATGGCCGCACCTCCTCTATGCCCAGGTGATCGCTAAACAAGTAATCACATGTGCCCTAGTACAATTCACATCTGGAATCTGCTCAGCCCAGATTTCCTGGCAGATTATGTTGGCCTAAGACAATTTAAATGAGTGGGCAATCAGTTGAACACACACCTTGGCTACTCCTTGTTAACTCAAGCATTCTAGTTTATTGTCAACAAAAGGAAAAATATCTGATTGCTTACAATAGTGATAAGTAAATTCTACACGCGATTTCTCAGTGAATTCTCCACCTTCTTACCTTAAAGGGTCAGCTTTTCCAATGCTTCCAGTTGAAGGAAGCATTTCATATAAAATCATGGAGTCATAGAATCATAGAATCCCTACAGTGCAGAAGCAGGCCATTCTGGCCATCAAGTCCACACTGCCCCTCCGAACAGCAACCCACCCAGACCCACTCCTTTGCCTTATCCCTGTAACTCTGCATTTCCCATGGCTAATCAACTTAGCCTGCACATCCCTGGACACTATAGGCAATTTAGGATGCTCAATGCACCTAACGTGCACATCTTTGGACTGTGGGGGAAACCGGAGCACCCAGGAGAAAGCCACACTGACACTGGGAGAACATGTAAACTCTTCCCTTGCCTCACCCCCTTAGTTCCTGACAGTTTTCTTTCACGCCACAACCAAGCTGAGACTGTCTCACTTCCAACCCAGTTCAGGCTTGCATTCTTCTTTCACACTCCCATCCATTTGACCTAGAATCATACTGTTCCCATTCCACATCTCTTGCTGGTTTCCACACACTCCCTGCTTCTCTTCAGTTAATGTAAGCCCTATCCTTCAATCCACCGAGCTTCTCATGAATGGAAGCAGTTCTCATCTAACGTAAGAGAGAAGAAATAAACTTAACGACAACCCTATTAAGCTGGTTTATTGTAGGGAGACGGGTCGCCTCGTGTTTGTTTAATAAAACTTCTGTAGGCCCACAAATGTTCAATATCCCCATATTCATTTCTGGTATTAAAGCTGCACAGTGAGTGCAAACTTGGACTATCCAGCCTATTTTTCTTCTGTTAGTATAGACAAATTAAATAAATATTGCACATTTACTACATTGTCCTTTACTAAAATTGTACTCTTAGAACCAGTAGAACTAATTACACAGCAAGCTTATCTTTGGAGCTTATTAGGGTCACAATTTAATGGCAATTCTGGCTTTCATTTTTACTTGCAAAATAGTTTAGTCTGGTCCTTGCAGAATTTTTTCTCCACAATTTAGAAGGTGTTACTTCATAAATCTTGAACATCTTTTTCACCATATGTTAGTTTAATTACTTCGAAGTCAAAGACTTGCGACTAATAACTTTCACATTTCTACTGAGCATGTTGGAAAAAATAAATACCATGAGAATTTCATGGAATCAGGATAAATCATTTTAGGATGCATTTCTGGAGTAGGCATAGAACAATTACATGATAACTGATCTGTACAAAAAGCACCAAGAGACCTTCAGCTAGGATCTATAGATAACCTGCAGCAATTAGGGTGCCCTCATATTCTTTAGCACATGCAACTTTCTGACCCTATCTGGCAATTTATGTAGAATATGTTGTTCCTGCAATGTCCAAATGTGTCACTCAGATTATTAGTCATAAAATCAATGTGTTATGTCTGCCTTCTGAAATCCCAGGCACACTAACAGCAAGTCAAGCAGCAGTTTTCTGTACTGTCCAGAATCCCCCATTATCGTGGCAGCATGATGTATCTGTACACATTCTGAGAGTGTGCACATTACCTGTTACCAGAATACTATTACTTAGTGAATATGTAGGTTGTATGTAATACTAAGAACTACCTAACAAAAGTTATTATCAAATCTTATGCTTACCACTGATTCATATATTTTAATAAAAGTTGGACTACCAGTGTATAGAAGAATTAATGGATCTTGCACAAGAAGGCACATGGACAAAATTGTTTCAAACCTAGCTCTTTTTGCTGCACTGCCTCTCTGCTTCTCTCTATTCTTTTACTACTTGTTTCCACCTTTTCTTCCAGTCTTTTTGCCTTTTCCCTATTTATCATCAGTTGTCTTTGACTTCAGTTATGTTTTCCATCCCTCTGTTCCCTTGGTGTTCTATATGTCACTGTCTCAACACATTTCTCCTATTTCTTTTTTCAACTTCAGTTATTATAGTTTACTCTTACAAGGCACAGAGCGTATACACTGTGTTGAACTGATCAGAAAGTCTGAATAGGGAGAAAGGAAGTATTGCAGTATTTATGGGTACAAACTTGCTGATGCTCACAGTTAAGACTGGTAACGAGCAGGAGCTCATATCATAAGGAAATAGGGACTCACCTGTAGCCTTGAATGGAAGGGCTTGGAAGGAAGTGAGGTTTAAAGCCTGGTTTTGGAATGCAGCAAAATGCAAGCATCTAACGATTTGTTTATTTTCTCATAATTTTGTGCTGGCTGAGAGCTGCTACTTTTTAAAAATCTTCAATTGTTGATATTTTTGCTTAGTTTTTAATTTATTCTCATCATGGAAGGCGGTCAAAAAGTTGTTTTTATGATGCTGGGAGTAATGGAGTAAGTGGCTGCAATTAAAAAAGGAATGTAAAGTGATAACAAGCAAAAAAAAAACAAATGAAACAATTGCAGAGCTGGATGAACACAGCAGGCCAAGCAGCATCATTGGAGCAGGAAGGCTGACGTTTTGGGCCTAGACCCTTCATCAGAAAAGGGGGAGGGGAAGGGGGTTCTGAAACTGTCTCTAAATGAAACAATCTGCCTGAATTTTAAAAAATGGGGAGAATCTCTTGGGACTTTGTCCATGTGAACAAATCATCTGAGTAGCCAATTGGAATACAGACAAATTGGACTGCATGTCCATACTGGATCTACCAAATTGTTCTCCTTCACCTTGAGCTGTCAGCATAGGAAGACAAAGGGAGACCGTGAGCTCCACCCTCGGTAAGAAATGATGCAGCTTCCAGGAGGAAACAAGATAATGAAACACCAGTGAGAAAAAGTATTGTGGCAAGACAAGAAAAACATTACTCCTGGTAGACAAGGAAAATAGGTAAAATAGAGTAAGAGATTAAAAAAAATGCCCTGACTACTGCCCCCCAATCTGTCTCCCATATTTTGGCGGGCAGGCAATGGCAGACAGCCTGCAAGTCATTGGGCTTATTGAGGCCCTCGAATGACCAACTAATACCAAGAAGAACCTCAACCTCTGTACTGTCATGTGTGCTTCAGAGGAAGGCTTCACGAAGGCAGGTAACCCTACATGTGCAGTCTGTTGTTGGACAAATTAGGAGAACCCCCTTAGCAAGAGGGATCTGTGCCCATCAGAGGTGCTCCCACTTCAAGTGTATACCCTCTTTTCATCTGTCACACTGGGCCTTTAAAACCCAAATCCCAACACGCATCCCTGACCTTTATGTCTGCCAGCTACGACCACCCAAAATCTCTGATTTACCTGTAGCACAGGTTCCATCCCTTCTGCATCTCACAGCTAATCAGATTGGCTAGCAGCTCTCTAGGGCAACTCTGACTTACAGGTGGGTGCAAAAATTCCATGCTGAAACAAATAAAGATGTCCCCAGCATGATATCACTGAAAGATGGTTAGGTTTTGGGTTGCTGCATGGGTAATGTTCAGAAGGCAGGTAATCCAATCCCTGCCCTGACCATCTCCCATTAAAATCTATCCCATAGAAGCTTGAAAACACAGTGTTTGTAACACAATGTAATAAACTTAAACAATATGCAAAATAAACACAGCCCAATTTACACCTTTTTTCATTCCCAATCCAACATTCTATTCCTTGGTTTAAGTTGAGACATTGGTTACTATTGTAATGAGTACTGTTTTCAACGCATGCAATCACCAAGCTCTATGCTACCAGTTTGTTTTTCTGTTTACGCATGTGAGCATCAATGGTAAGGACAGCATCTGTTGGCCATTCCTAATTGCTCTTCAGAAAATGAGCTACCTTGTTGAACCTCTGCAGTCCATTTGGTGCGGATATACCAACAGCTCCATGCTTTTGACCCAGCAACAGTGAAGGAACAGCTGCACTGTTCCATATCAGCATGGTTTGTAGCTTGGAGGGGAACTTGCAGGTGACGGTTTTACAATGTATCTGCTTCCCTTCTCCTTACAGGTGATAGAGTTTGTGGGTTTATGGGTGATGTAAAATGAGGCTTATCAAATTACTATAATGCATCTTTCAGATAGTACATACTGCGGCCACTGTACATTGATGCTTCAGGGAGTGAATATTTAACATGATGTATGAATTATGGGTTAATTCCACTCATTGAGGATGTTGTTGTTTCAGTGTTAATTTGAATGATTTTTGCATGCTGCCAACAGTAAGCACATTGTTGGACAGCTGTAATGCTTTGTAGGAGGAGCAAAATTATGAAAGGTAGCTAATGCTACCAGCACCACTTAAACAACAGATGAACTATGAAGCATTCTTATAAATATACCAACATGAAGAACATTCAAATAATAGCAGAATATGACAAAGTTTACATGTAGATTTTCTCACACTGCATTAGAGATCTTCATGTAGGAAATGGAAAGGAGGAAAGATGAAAATCTATCCACCAGGGGCAGGAAACCTTCTAGCCAAATTTGTTGAAGCCAAAGGGACCAGATAGCTATTGTGGGCAATGCCACCTGTCTAGCCATGAGAGTAACTAGGTATCCATTCCTGGCAAACACATTAACCAAACACATACTTGCTTACTTCTTTCTTTCTCACAGGCTGAGATTGTAAACCTGAGGCAGTAGCACGTAACCAGTGGGAGACAAGAATGGCAGCATGTCCATAATCCTATATGAAGGGATGAGAATGGCTGAGACAAAAGGACTAAAACATTTTATGATAAGTAAGTATGTACACATTTTTACACAAATTGGCAAAGTACCGTTGACCATAGACCCCACCGTTCTATGCAAGTCTTTATGCTCCCGCCTATCTTCCTCCCAACTTTCTTCATTTAAACCTAATCATCATAACCTTTTCTTCCTTTCTCCCTCATGTGCTCATTTCACTCCACTTAGATGCATCTAGGTTAAGTAGCTCAACTACTGCTTATGGTAGTGTTCACATTCTTACCACTGTCTTAGGTAAAGTTTGTCAACTTTCATTATTGGATATATTAGCTACTAATATACTTGACAGCCAGCAGTTTTTAACTTCCTTACAAATAGAAACATCTTCTCTAGGTCTACCCTATTGAGTGCCTTTCTAGTTTTAAATATGTCTCTCTGGTCACTCCTCAATTTCCCCTTTCTAAAGAGGCCCACACTGTTTAGAGTTTCCTAACGGTTATAAATTCTCAGTTTTGGTAAAGATGCAAAAACAATTTGTAAGGATGACATCTGAACTATGTATTCACTGAATATTTTCATAATCTAGAGAAAAGAACTTTGCACAGGTGGTTGATCTAAGGTGCAACACAAATTTAACATGATATCCCTGTTTTTCAATTCTCTCTCTATAAAACCAAATCCCAGTGCTTTGTTTGCCTACTTTCTAAAAAAAAAGGTTAAGCTCTTCGGAATTTACGTCTCTGTATTCAATTACTTTGCTTCTCGAACATATTTTGAAACGCAATATCAAAGCAGTATGTGACCTCCTTATTCTTCATGCCAAAATGCACCTCACACACCACTCATCGATATTCATTTGCCAATTAAACACTAATTTTGCATGTTTATTAATGTCTCCTGTTGTATCACTAACATTGTTTGTGCTAAACCTATCCTTTATCATTAACATCCTAGAGGTTATCATTGACCAGAAACTGAACTGCACTAGCCATAAAAATACTGCAGCTACAAGAGGTCAAAGGCTGAGATTTCTGCATTATTTAATTTACCATCTAACTCCCCAAATCTGTCTACGATCTACAAGGCATAAGTAAGGCATATGATGGAATACCTCACACTTTTCTGGATTAGTACAGCTCTAACATTACGTAAGGACAACATCATCCAGAAAAAAATGCCGCCCAAATGATTGGCACCCCATTCACCACAGTAAATATTTATTTCCTCCTTCACCACACACACTGGCGGAATTGCAAACCATCTACAAGATGCACTACATCAACTAACCAAGCCTTCATCAACAGCACCTTCCAAACATGCAAGACCTAACATCTGGCATACCAGTAATTGACACCAATGGAGGTATGATGTCACAGGCACAGGATAAGCAGCTGATTGGCGAGTGAGTTTGATATTTCCAGTATTCAAAGTGAAAGTTGGTATTTAGTTTGTGTTTAAGACTGAGGTTTTTCTTTCTTTTTTTTCCAGAGAAATAACTTGTTAAGTTTCATATGGCCATACTCATTCTAAGGGTAACAAATAGTTTTTAAAGTTAAAGGATGGCAGGTCAGAAGAGTCAAGTGGAGAGTACATCCTGTAGTATTTGTAAAGATATGCAATACCATGTGTGCCAGACAAATGCAACTGTAGGATGTGTCACCAGCTGCATAAGAATGAGCTCCGGGCTTCAGAACTTGGTCAGTAGCAAAGTCACTGGTGTGCATCTGTGAGACAGAGGAACACATGGACAGCACATATATGATTACTGCTCAGAGCTGCTCGTAGTTCAGGAGTAGGCAAATTCAGCTCCTCTGATCTGCTCTACCATTTAATACGATCTTGGCGGATTTCATCTTGGCCTTACCTCCACTCCCCTGCCCGTGCCCCATAATCTTTTGACCCACTACTAATCTATCTCCTCCTCAAATTTATTCAATGTCCTGGCTTCCACTACACTCTAGGTAATGAATTCCACAGATTCATAGCCCTTTCATAGACATAATTTTTCTTCATCTGTTTTAAAACTGCAACTCCTTAGCCTAAAACTTTGACGTCTTGTTCTACATTGCCCCAGGACCTGATGGTTTACATTCAGCGTACTGACGGAGATTGCTATGGGGATATTTAGTGCATTAGTGATTAGTTTCCAAATTTCTATACAATCTGGAATGATTCCTGCTAATTAGAAGTTAGAAAATGTCATCCTACTTATGAAGTGAGAAAGAGAGAAAACAGAACTATAGATAATGCTAGAATCTATCATAAAGGATGGGTTAGACACCTGGTTGATAATGATCTGATTGGGGATAGTCAGCATGAATTAGAGAATGGGAAATTGTGTTTAATTAACTTGTTGGCGTTTTCTTGAAGATATTCCTAACTGTTAAAAAGAACTGATGGATATTACTTAAATTTTCAGAAGGCTGGTTAGAAAAATTAAAGCACAAAGGGTAGGAAGTAATGTACCAGCACAGATTAATAGACAAAATAGACAATGGCCAATAGACAAAAGGAATAAATAGGTCAATCTCATATATGCAGGCTGTGGCTAGTAGGGTATGGCAAGAATCAGTAATTGGGAACCAGCTATATATGTTATATTACATATAAATGATTTAGAATGTATTATTTCAAAATTTGCAGATGATACAAAGTTAAGCAGGAATTGGGAAGCTACTGGAGACTCTTCTTAGGGATAGGATTTACACGCATTTGTAAAAGCATAGCCTGGCTTTGTGCAGGACAGGTCATGCCTTATTAACTTGATTGGATTTTTTTGAGGAGGTGACGAAGGTTATCAATGAAGGTAAAGCAGTGGATATTGTTTACATGGATTTTAGCAAGGCTTTCTACAAGGTCCCTTGTGGTAGGTTCATCCAGAAGATTAAGATGTAGGAGATCCACAGTGACTTGGCCATGTGGATTCAGAATTGGCTTGCCCACAAAAGACGTGACAAGGTGTTCCGCAGGGATCCGTACTGGGACCTCTGCTGCTTGTGATATATGTAAATGACATGGATGAAAATGGAGATGAGTGGGTTGGTAAGTTTGCAGATGATACAAAGATTGGTGGATAGTGTTGAAGGTTGTCAAAGAATAGATATAGATCAGTTGCAGATATGGGCAAAGCAATAGCAAGTGCAGCTTACACCAGGTAAGTGTGAGGTATGGCACTTTTGGAGATCAAATGTTAAGGAAAAGTGTACAGTTAACGGCAGGACCTTGAACAGCAATGATGTACAGAGGGATCTTGGGGTTCAAGTCCATAACTCCCTGAAAGTGGCCACGCAAGTAGATAGGGTCGTAAAGAAGACATATGGCATGCTTGCCTTTATTGGTCAGGGAAGCGAGTACAACAAAAACCAAAAGAACTGCGGATGCCATAAATCAGGAACAAAAACAAAGTTGCTGGAAAAGCTCAGCAGGTCTGGCAGCATCTGTGAAGAAGAGAACAGAGTTAACGTTTCAGGTCCAGTGACCCTTCTTCAGAGCTTTGAAGAAGGGTCACCGGACCTGAAACGTTAATTCTGTTTTCTCCTTCACAGATGCTGCCAGACCTACTGAGCTTTTCCAGCAACTTTGTTTTTGAAGCGAGTACAACAGTCAGGCGTGTTGCAGCTTTATAAGACTTTGGTTAGGCCACACTTAGTGTATTGCATTCAAATCTGGTCACCACATTATAGGATGTGGAGGCTTTGGAGAGGGTGCACAAGAGGTTTACCAGGTTGCTATGTGGATTACAGGGTATGAACTCACAGGAGAAGCTAGGAAAACTCCAGTTGTTTTCTCTGGAGCGGTAGATGCTGAGGGGAGACTTAATAGAAGCCGATAAAATTATGAGATGCATTTTTTTTCTTTATTCATTCGCAAGATCAGGGCATCACTGGCTATGCAGCATTTATTGCCCATCCCCAATTGCCCAGAGGGCAGTTAAGAGTCAACCACATTGCTGTGGGTCTGAAGTCACATGTAGGCCAGACCAGGTAAGGATGGCAGTTTCCTTCCCTAAAGGACATTAGAGAACCAGATGGGTTTTTCTTGACAATTGACAATGGATTCACAGTCATCATTAGATTCTTAATTCCAGATATTTATTGGATTCAAATTCCACCATCTGCCTTGGCAGGATTTAAACCCAGGTCCCCAGAACATTATCTGGGTCTCAGGGTTAACAGTCCAGTGATAATATTATTAGGCCATTGCCTCCCCCAGCATAGACAGGGTTGACAGACAGAATCTTTTTCCCAGAGTTGAAATGTCTAATACTTGGGGGCATGCATTTAAGGTGACTGGGGAAAGTCCAAAAGAGATACGAGGGACACAGATGCTGGTGGGAGTCTGGAATGCACTGCCAGGGGTGGTGGCAGATACCACAGGAGCATTTAAGGGACTTTTAGATAAACATATGAATATGTAAGGAATGGAAGGATATGAACCAACCACAGCCTAAAGGGATTAGTTTAATTTGGCCTCACGTTCAGCACACCATCGTGGACAGGGTTAGTGAATGGACAACAACATAGCAGATACAATGTGGAAAAATGTGAGGTTATGTATTTTGGTAAGAGAAACAGATCTACAGAATATTTCTTAAATGCTGTGAGGTTGGAAAGTGTATATGTGCAAAGAGACCTCGGTGTCTTTGTCAATAAGTCATTGAAGACTAATATGCAGATGCAGCAAACTATTAGGAATGTCAGCCTTTGTTGCCAGAGGATTTGAGAACAGGGGATGTGAATAGGGGATGGGGGGGGGCTAGTGGGGAGTGTGGAGCGGACGAGGGAGTAGCGGAGAGAGCGGTCCCTATGGAAGGCAGATAGGGGTGGGGAGGGAAATATATCCTTCGTTGTGGGGTCAGATTGCAGGTGGCGGAAGTGATGGAGAATGATGCATTGAATCCAGAGGTTAGTGGGGTGATACGTGAGGACAAGGGGGATTCTGTCTTTGTTTTTGTTGCGGGGAGGGGGTGTGAAGGCAGAGGTGCGGGAAACGCAAGAGATGCAGTCGAGAGTATTTTCAACCACTGAAGGGGGGGGATGTTGCGGTCCTTGAAGGGATGTGAAGTTTTGCTTCAGTCATCCAAGAGCCTTGTTAGATTGCACCTGGAGTACTTCATGCACTTTGGTCTCCTCAGCTCAAGAAAGACATTCTTGCCAGATTGGGACTGCAGCAAAAGTTTACCAAACTTGCCAGTCCTCGGATGACAGAACTGTCATATAAAGAAACATTGGGCAAACTGGACTTGTATTTAGAGTTTGAAAAATGAGAGATAATTTAATTGAAACTTACCAAGTACTTTTAAGGGAAAGACAGGATAGATGAATGTAAGATGCTTCTAGAATCGCCACTTAAGTCCGAGATGAGAAATGTTTTTACTCAGAAGGTTGTGAACCTTTGTAATTCTCCACCCTGAAGGGGTATGGAAGATGTCTTTCAAGTCTGTTTAACATTGACATTGTTAGATTTCTGATTACCAATGGCGTACAGAACAATGGGAATAGGGTGGGTCAAAGGCTCTACAGTGTTCAGTCAGCTATGATCATACTAAATGGTGAGGCAGGCTTGACAGGTTGAATGGCCTACACCTGTTCCTATGTCCAGGCAGCAATTTGGAAAGCAAATAGAAACATTGGCCTTTATTTCAAAGGGAAGAGAGTAAAAAAAAATACAGAAGTCTTGTTAAAACTGTACAAGGCACTACATAGACCATACCTAAAGTACAATAATTAGTTCTGGTCCCTTTATCTAAGGTAATAAATACTGGCATTGGAGGCTGTTCAGAAAAGGCTCACTAGGTTGTTCCCAGGCATTGAAGTGTTTTCTTATGAGGGGACGTTGAGTCGTTGGGCCTGTACTCATTGAATTTGAGAAGAATGAGAGGTGACCTTCTGAAACATTTAAGATTCTTAGGGGCTTGACAGGGTAGTTGCGGAGAGGTTTTTTTCCCCATTTGTAGTACAGCCTAGGACCAGAAAGCATGATCTCAGAGTCACTTGCTGTTTGTAGCATTTTAAAGACTACGTACTCGAACCCCCACATTTGGCTATCCACTGTATTTAACTTCATAGAAGTATCTAGAAGTACCCTGATCTATCCCTTTTCAGTCCAAAATGGCTAGCCTCATGCTTGCTTACATTGAAGTCCATCTACTACAACTTTGCCCTTTCAACTAGTCTATCCAATATGAAGCACCTCTTATTTATCTAAATTAAACTCCACCTGCCACTCCTCGGCCCATTGACCCATCTAATCAAGATCCTATTGTACTCAGGAGATAACCTTCTTCGCTATCCACTACACCTTCAATTTTGGTGTCATCTGCAAACTTACTAACTATACATCCTATGGTCCCATCCAAATCATTTATATAAATGACAAAAAGCAGTGGACCCAGCACCAATCCTGGTGATATACTGCTGGTCACAGGCCTCTAGAGTGAAAAGCAACCTCCACCACCATCCTCTCTGTCTTTTACCTTCAAGCCAGTTTTGTATCCAAATATCTAGTTGTCCCTCTGTTCTGGACGATCTTGTATTTCAATCAAACGGCCAGATGAAATATCAACAGTTGATTCAATTTCGAGTCAATTTCTGCTCAAATACCACGATCTAACATGATGTTCAAGTAGTCAGTTGAAGGTGTGAGTGAGAAGGCTCTCGACTGGTAAATTTTATTTAAGGCAAAGTTGCATTATTACTTATTATTATTCATTCTGTAAGTAAAGCAGTGATGTGTATGCTCCTTATGTTTTTATTACATAGTGTGTCATTTTCCATTGATTGTGTAGGCCTCATGATTATATTTGATCAATTGGCACATTCCTGGTCCCATAAGTGTGAGATTAATAAAAAGTTTACTGGAAAAGCATTGGTAAGTTAGACATTCTTAGACTGAGGACCCCTGCACAATTACTGTTTTCATATTTCTAACTAGCTCTCTCCCATAATCCAAGTTCTCCCTCGTTAGCCTTTTAGTCATTCTTCACATTACTTCCAATATTCCAGAGCTGCCACTCACCTTTGCAGAATAATTTGATTTTTCTCTCAGTTTAGCACCATCTTTACATTTTTAGGTTAGCCACAGAGGAACAGCATTCCGAGTTTTTCTTTTTCACTGGAATGTCTGGAGTGCTTGAAATACAAGTGTGTGCCACTTTCATTACTGATCCATCCCTCAAACTGGAAAAATTGGTTATTTCAGTCAGCTCTGCCTGTGTGCCCTCTTTTGTAAAATTAAAAGCCTAGTTAGATGCACATTTTTCTTCCACAGCCTGAAAGTGGAATTTGATTGCGCGATGATTATAGCGTCCTCATTCTGCCTTCACTGAGAACCCATTAATTTTATCTCATTGCATATTACCCAACCTGGTATGGGGCCTGTTCTCGGGTTAGGTCTAGAACATTAACATAAAACAAAGAGCTGTGGATGCTAGAGAGCAAACACTAAAACAAAAATTGCTGGAAAAACTCAGGAGGTCTGCCGGCATTTGTGCCGAGAAAACAGTTATCATTTCGACTTCCGAAGATGGGTTAACGGACTCAAAACTTTAACCCTGTTTTCCCTGCACGGCGCTGCCAGTCCTGCTGAGTTTCCCCAGCAATTTATTTGTGTGTTTGGCTCCGGAACATAATATCTCGAGAAACTATTCCCAAAATACTCGTCGCCCAGGCGACCTTTTCCTAACCTAATTTGTACGGAGATGAAAATCACCCACGTTTATCACCTTGCCCTTCTCATAGCCACCCCCAACTTCACCTTTGGACTTCTCCCATCCTAAACTGCGGTTATTGCTAGGGAAGCCGATAAATCACTTCCATCGCCTTCTCAAGGCTGACCACAAATGAGAAAATTAATGTTGGAGCGGGCAGCAAAGCCCACATCCCGCCGGAAAAGAAAAGTTTAAAACAATACGTTATTGAGGCCGGTTACCAAGATTTACAGAGCAGTCAAGTCAGCTCCAGTCCTACTCCTGCACACATTTTAAAAGGGGAGTGGGCGAAAAGCAGTTCGTTGCCGTTGCCGTTGCCGTTGCCTGGAGCTGAGCGATCACCGAGACTTCAAACACATCTCCCCACCCACTGAGGCTGCTCACGTGACAGGAGACGGGTCCGCCCAGACCCGGACACACGTCCTGCGCCTGCGTGCTCCGGCCTACGGCGGCCGAAGGAGTCCGTGTTTTTACGGGAGTGATTCCCTCCCCTCCCCCACATCCCAGTCTTTCCGATTTGTTACCATCTCGATGTCGATATCCCCCTCTCGACTTCCCCACCTCCTTCCCCCCTCCCGACAACACAATCGGGCCGTTTTGTGATTGCTGCTGAGGAGCGAGACTGTTTCCAGAGGAAGGCTGGCCTAGGTTAGTGTGCACGGTTACAGCGCTGCAGCCTTTTTTGCGTTTCCCTGACTGCCAGTTCGGGGAGTCACAGCGCCATTTCACGGAGTCTTCCACCCGGGATCGGGACTGTTCTGGGGGGGTGGGAAGAAGAAGAAGAAGAAGAAGCAGCAGCAGGCAGGCGGCATTGCGGCCTAGCGTTGAGGCTGTGATCCCGCGGCCTAGACGCCGCGCGCGGGCTGCAGAAACGGGTAAGCGGTCGTCCTCCCGCCACCGGTGCCCGGCCCACAGGCGGCCGGGGACGCAGTAGGCGCAGCAATTCGCCAGTTTCCCCGTATCCACACTTGAGGAACACACACCCCACCAAGCGTGAGAGTCGGCCGTGGGCACCCGCCCCGTCAAACCACCCGGGGCTCGTCTACGGTCCTGCAAAAGAATCGTGTGAGACGGAGAGAGAGGAAAAAAAAAAGTTTTTAACGATCTCAACATCCAGTGGGAGGTGGATGTGGTCGAATGGTAGATTATCGGGAACGGTGGTATGTGATGAGGGGAGAAAGGACAGGGAGTTTTCCCACAGGGGGAGCTGGCGGGGTCAGACCGGACGATGTTCCTCTGGGATAGTAGGAACTGCAGATGCTGGAGAATCCGAGA